CAAACCAAAAGAGCAAATGAGTGAGTGAGAGGGCAAAATCTGAACTTTACTAGCTTCTGTTGTTAAAATAAAAACTCTGCAACAGCTCCCCATTCCTCTGAAATATGTTAGTAATAATCATCCCGTGTTTGAAGTGAATGCAAACCCAAAAAAAGTCCTCGGAGGAACATTCATTATTAGCATGTGGATGAGGTTTGGGGAATGGATTGTCAGATAAAAAAAAAAAAAAAAAGGCATTTAATAATTTTCCCATCTTCCAACAGAGACACCACTCATATCTTCAAACATCTGGATCTGGGAATTAGTTCATTCAGTAGCACATTAATTTGAAAAGCAAATTGAGGGAATAGCTGAACTCTGGATTTGGCTCAGTCTGCTGCAACCCATACGATGCAAAGATGACATCCGAAAGAGCAATGGCAGTGAATTTTTTTCCAGATTGCTCTTGTAGGCTGGGAGCAGCCAGAGTAAAACCCTTCTCTGAGGCTTCCTGAAGGAGAAGCCAGTCAGTTCTCCCCATTAATGTCTGCTGTTCAGGGGGATCTGGAATATAAAGGATGTTCTAAGGGTGTTTGGCCAAGTCAGAGCTGAAATTCCAGTTCCACTGGTGGCAGGGAAAGCTCCAGCTGATCTTTCCAGCAAGGTCATATTTACCAAAAACACTACTGAATACTCTGGGCCATTGGAAAGTGAAAAGCAGAATGACCAGGGTACCTGGGGAAGTCCTGTCAGGGACTTTGCAGTGTTACCATCTGCGTCTGGAGGTGACTGCTGACCTGCACAAAACATCCCTCCTTGTTTTCACAAGACTATTTGAAGTACCTTTTACCAACCAGAGTGGAGAGGACACCACTGCAGCCACAATCACCTCTGAAAACCAGTTTTCCACTTCAGGGCAGAGTGATGGATAATTCTGCGTGCCTGGTAGATTTGTACTTTGGCTGCCAGTTTGATCTATGCACGCCTGGAGTTTGATATAAAGACACAAATCATTCCTGAATTACCCACCACATCCTCCACAAGGGAAAAAAAAACCCAAACAAACCAACACACACAGCCTCAACCAAACAGAACACTAAGAGCAGTTCTGTAGATTAAAGATAAGTTACCACAAAGTTTAAAACCAGAAGAAAAATGTGAGTCGTGCACAGGAATTCATGGAAGTTTCAGAGCAAATGAATCCCAAGAAGCAAAGAACAATGACAAATTCTTGGGCAACAGTGCGGGATCATTGTTGGAATACCAGGTAATGGGAATTATTAAAACAGATGTAAAGTGCACAAACTCCCTCTGGGGAGCGTGGTTAGAGCTCCCCCACCATCCATCAGTAAATGTCTCAGGAACATGAACAGCAAAAGGTTGGCAGGTTTGAGGTACCATTCTCCGAAGCAACCTGATGATGAAGTGTTATCTGATGGAGAAAGCCAAAGAGAAACATCTTACACCTAATAAGGATATTAAGAAAAGAAAAAGCAACCCTAAACTGGGGCGATCATTTGCTTTTTCAGAGAGGGAAAAAAAATACATATATATAATCCCAAACTGCAGACCTAAAGCAACTGAACTCTCAGGCAGGCAGCACAGAGAATAAAACAAAGGGAACAGTGAGGAGAACAAGTTAGAGGGGATGTAACAAGAACATCAAGCTGAAAGTGGAGAGGTGGATATTTGCCCAAGGTGTGCTGGCAGCAAACGGGGTTTCCTGTTTTAAACTCCTGATTGGCTTCCAGCTACGTGAAAACACTCGTGGCCTTTGAACTGGTGTTATTTATTTCTGCAGCCCTGTTAATACACACAGTGTTCCCTGCAACCGGGGCAGTGTGGCCACACAAATAACGAGGATCTTGCTTCCTAAAACACGGGATGGAGAGGCTGTTCCAGCCCAGACAAAATATCTTTGTGCCCTCAGAGAAATCACCTCACTCGTATCTGTGAGGGGGGGGACTCTGTGCATCCCATGTGCTGTGACGTCATCGCTCTTCCCACGAAAACTTTAGGAGGATTCACATCTCTGCCCCAGCTGAGGTCGTCACCAAATGATTCTCCTGCTTCCTGGAAGCCAAACTTTGTATTTACGGAACTCATGCTGTAGCAGAGCGCAGTTTCACTGTCTCTGAGTCTCCTCCGGCTCCCTCAGCCACCAAACCTCCTGGCAAGAGCAGGGCTGGCTTTTAGGAGGTCCAAAGAGCTGCAGAGTCTGCTGGGCACCATCCCCTGCCCACGCTGCCTGAGGGGAGATAAACCAGGAGCTGCTCCCAGCGTGGAACCAAGCAATCCATTTCTCTTGGTGGCATCCTGGGAGCCCCACGGAGCCTTTTAAAATAGTCCTCTCTGACAGGCCAGAAGGACCAGCCCAGCCAGCCCAGCGCCTTTTCCAGCTCCTCTGCTAAACCGGGAGCTGGAGCCACAGCGGTGGAACACCCAGTTCCAGATGGCACATCCCGGAGCCAAGGGCCGAAGCCACGGAATCCTCCCCCGCTGGATCGCAGAGGAGGCCACCGAGAAGTCTGAGCCTGCACAGATTGTCTCGGTAGCGGATTGACCTCGCTCCCGTTTCTGAGGTTTCCCGTTCAGCATCAAACAGGGCAATTTAACACAGAGCCAGATGGAAGATGACCTCATTTACTGTCTCACAACCACAGCTACTGTCCCCCAGCCAAGGCCAGACTTTCCCCAGCTTGCTAAAAAATGCAGGAGACACGGAGTCCTCCCCCATCCCAGGAGAAATATTGGTTTATCCATATAATTAGGAAGGAAAGCTGAGCGCCGTAGTCCTCAGTGGTTTTCACATCTTTTGAAACACTGTCTTAACTGCAGAGCTAAAAACAGGGATGTAAAAAAAAAAAAAAAAAGAAGTATCAGCGAGAGAGAAAGGAAGCCAAAACTAGTCCCAAAGCACAGGAAAGGACTTTGTTATAACTAGTGATCCATGACAGCATTAATTTCTCTTTCAGAAGACTGAGTAGCAAGGAATTTGAACTCAAGGAAAAACGAGCCCATTAAACTAGCACAAAGACTTAGTTCTGAAAAGCCTCGACCACACTCCAAAAACTATCTGTTAGATGATCTGGGATAGTGTGTAAGCATCATTTCCTGGAATGGGACCATTTGGATTGTAGAAGGAAATCACAAAATCATAGAATCACAGAATGGCTTGGATTGGAAGGGACCTTAGAGATCGTCTTGTTCCAACCCTCCAACCTTTCGCTGTCCCAGGTTGCTCCAAGCCCCGTCCAACCTGGCCTTGGACACTTCCAGAGATGGCACAGCTATAGAACATCCTCCACAATTACACAAAAACAAGAAATAGTGAATCCATGGCATAGAGCTGATTATTAACATATCTTTTTTTAGAACAGACTTACTTGGCACTGTTAGACTGAGTCTTTGAGTAGCAGCTACAGGACCTTTACCTTGGAGTGAAAAATTACACTTAAAGACTACATGTCTACATGTTCCTTATCCTGAAATGAAACTTGAAGTGTCCAGAGACACCTGTCTACAGGCATTTTCTAAGAGCCTGATTTTCTAAGGGAGATTATCTCGATTTGAAGGAAAGTTTATGTATGTTGTGACTTGTGGAGATGGATGGGAGAGTCAGGAGTCCAAAGAGATGGTTTATGTACTCCAGACTTTGGGGAGACCTCACTGAGGCCTTTCAGTACCTTAAGGGGCTTATAAAAAGGAGGGAGAGGGAGTTTTTGTCTGGGCAGACAATGATAGAACAAGAGGCAATGGTTTTAAACTGAGAGAGGGTAGGGTTGGATGGGATATTGGGAAGGAATTCTTGACTGTGAGGGTGGGGAGGCCCTGGCACAGGTGTCCCAAAGAAGCTGTGGCTGCCCCTGGATCCCTGGAAGTGTCCCAAGGCCAGGTTGGATGGGATTCCATCACTGTCCATGGCAGGGGGTTGGAACTGAATGATCTGTAAGGTCCCTTCCAACCTCAGCCATCTATGATTCTATAACTGACCCTTTAGCAAGAACAAGAACCACTTGCTCTTCTATTTCTGTCAGTCTTACATCAGAATATTCACATTATTCACATTAATGTGGTTGTTTGGTATTGAGATTACAAACCCCCTACTCCCTCATCTAACAACTGAACAAAAACAGCCAACCAGCAGTGGCATAATTAATTACCAAACAGCAATCAACCCCCCCAGTATTATCTCTTTAACTCTTATTAACTCTTCAGTTCCCAATTTAATATTAAATGCTCTCCCTAACAGAAAAATCCTTGATGAATACTAATTGTAAGGCCAAATATTTTCATTTTTAGTGGTAATTTGCTCTCCTGGAGTTGTCTGAAAGAGAAAGCTGCTCCTCAGTTTCCTCATCACTTATCTGCTTCTGCACCAAACATGCACAAGGAGAGCACAAAATGACAGTGAGCTTTGCTATTATGTTCAGTCCAGTCCAAGCCCTGCCTTTGCAAGCAGTAATTCCATTTCTTAGTCATTTATTCTATAAAGGAATTGTTGATATTGGTCATTTTTTTTTAAACACAATTTGTGCTGCGAGCTCAGTCCACGGTTTCCTAATTTACAATAAATCACTGATTGCGTAGAAGAGCAGGAAGATGGAGTTTCCTGAAGGAATCATCCAGAGCCACACAAGAAAAGAACCCCCTTAGAAGGGCTGGGCATCATCTTCTGGTGAATCATTAGATAAATGCCTGGCCCTGGGCCAGAAATATTTGTGGCTGGATGGAATATTTAGAGATGCTGCACAACTCCTGTTATAGCACAGCCTCGTGTCAAAACATCCTTGTCCACAGAGGGTCCAAAATAGTTTAGAGAGGATTACATGTGTAGTGAAATATATCAGATTCACCTCTCTGTCTTTTTGTCTTTATTTGGCCGCTTCACAGGCAATTAACATTTTAATTTTAGCCTTTTAAGTCACCCCTTCAAGATGCTGGGCTCACAGAGAAAAAAAAAAAAAACAATCATAGAATAAAATACATTGTAAAATACACAATAATCTATCAAGCTATGAGTGACAGAAGTGCTTTCAAATATACTGGGGAAAAAAAAATCACAGAGTCCCAGGATCATCAAGGCTGGGAGAGGCTTTCAGGATCATCCAGTACTACCATCACTCAGCACCACCAGAAACACTCCTAAACCGTGTCCCCAGGGGCCACATCCAGACACCTCTGGGACACTCCCAGACACAGGGACTCCACCACCTCGCTGGGACAATTCTTGCAAGGCCTGACCACTCTTGAAGGGAATTTTTTTTCCCCTCTAACATCTCATTTGAGCCTCCTTTGATGCAACTTTAAGGCCATTTCCTCTGCTCCTTCCGAACTTGCCGTGTCCCCTTCAAAATACTTCTGCTGCCTCGAGCTTTTGCTTTTCTGGAAGACATGGAAAACGAACCTTAGGAGTTTTCAACAAATTATCTGTAAATAATAATAACATGACGTTGTGGATCTACATAAAGGGGCTGCACAGATCCATTTTGCAGGGGGTGTGGTGGGAGGAGGAGGTTTCAGGGAAGCGAAGGAAGAAGAAAAGCCCTTGCTTTGTGAATAAACCTTCCCAGGAAGCGCTCGCAAGTCCAAGAAATGGGATTTTTTTTGTTTTAATTTTTTTTTCTAATTAATATTATTATTGTATTTCCAGTGCTGGTGAAAGGCCAAGTCACAACCAAGTACTACAGGCTGCTGTCCAAGCAGGGAGGTTGGGTGTGGGTGCAGAGCTACGCCACCATCGTGCACAACAGCCGTTCGTCACGGCCTCACTGCATAGTGAGTGTCAATTATGTCCTTACGTAAGTCCAAATACTTTGTACCATTACACGTTGTCAGTAATTGATTCGCCGCTGGTTCAGTAGTACTCGTGGTTTTCTTTGTGTCTTGCCTGTTCCAGCCCCTTTCCCTGTTCAAATCCCCCCCCTTTTTTGGGTGTGGTCAGCTAAAAAGGGTTGATGTTCCTCGTGGTGTAAATCCTCACGGTGTGCAGGGAAGGGCGGTGGAGCTGGGGATGGGTCTAAAAAACGTCTCATGGGGGAGCTGGGGGGTTTATCTGGAGCAGAGGAGGCTCAGGGGGGACCTCATTGCTCTCTGCAATTCCCTGATAGGAGCTGTGAGAGCCAGAGACCAACTCCTGACCGAGCAGGAGGCAGATTAATTGATCTGTGTCTTTCTATCCGCTGACATGGCCGTGATTCCAAACCTCATGGTGCTCGTGGGGAAGCTGATAGAAGCTGACACAGCTTGGGTTGAGAAACAAAGATATTAACCTGGTTCTCAGCGTTTTGATTTTGTCAGAATGTTTGCGATAGTCTGGCGTGGGGATGGGGCCAGACCCTAAGATTCCCTGCCTGCTGACATCCCCAGACTCAGGAGAAATCTTGGAAGAATGAAAATTAAAACCCTGCGAAATCCAATACGTGTTTTCACAGGAGCTCTTTTGGATTTGTGTGGCCAATTTTGGATTTGTTTGAGGATGTAATTCACTGGACTGTTCTCTTGCAGAGATATTGAGTACAAGGAACTTCAGCTGTCACTGGACCAGGTTACCATTTCCAAGTCGCAGTTTTCATGCAGAAACTCAGCACCTACCTCGCAGGAAACAAGGAAAATAGTCAAACCCAAAAGTAATAAAATGAAGGCAAAACTCAGAACCACACCTTACCCACAACAGGTAAATTTTCAGCAATATTTGTTTACCAGTTTTTGTCATAGAGGGCTTGGAGCAGGAGAAAGGTCATCCAGGACTGAATTTACCGTACCACTGACATGGTTCTGCCTCAGGAAATCCCTCATAAACCAGATTAGAATCACATCCTTTTGTTCTTGGGGTGGACAGCACAGGTAGTACAAACCAACTCTGGCAAGTGACGTAAAAGCTTTTAAATATGATGTAT